GGTGAGCACCAGCCCTGGACAGCCCACCTGATGAAGGTTAGGCCCAGAAACCGGTTGTGGGAGTGGAGCTTGGTTCCCCCCTTTACGACAAGCAAAACAATTTTCTTTTTACTATTTATATTTTTTTTCTCTACTTTCGATTTTTCGAAATTAGAAAAAATGCACAGCTAAAGGCAAGAAAATATTATTTATTAATATACCCTTTAGCTGTAAGAATTTTGTTCCTTTCATATAAAATATAATAATATATTTGTTTACCCTCTCCAAATTATTTTTGCCTGTCTTAAGGTACAAAAAGAAAATTATCGCGTTGCGAGCTACCTCTATCATATTTCATTTATAAACATGAAAGTTTACTCCGGAAATCGCCTTAAGCGTTGCAAAAACAAGCCTCTATATTAGTAATAATAGCACTTTGGCCTTAAGTCCGTCATTGTAATGAAAACTCCACAAGAAGAACGTATTCATTCAACCTTTGAGAACTTGGGAACATCTACGCTCTCTCTTTCTTCTTCGCGTACTAGTACGCCACTGTTCCACAAGAAGTTGGAGCTCAAGCGCCAGAGTCAACAATGGGACATTTTCTAATGTCGGATCAAAGCGGAAACTTCTCAAAGCAATTTGTAGTTGTAATTGCGAGAGGCTTTAAGGAACAATTACTGTGTCGTTTTGTCTTTCCTCGGAATTTTCTTTTGACGGAAAAGCTGCGCGGGACGAGGATTTTTGTTAAGAGGAGCTTTTTTTAATGAAGACCGACTCCTTTTATACTTTAATTATTTTCAGGAACGCAAGTAGTAAATCAGAAATATCACAAATACAGGGTTATGCCTCTCATAAAATATGATGCCGCAACGGCAATTTTGTATAGTAATAAAAATTTTCGGACATATAATATAACGTCTATAACTTTGTTTCATTTTTCAAAAGACTTCTGAATTTTTCTACATTAGAAGAAATTCTACAAAATAAAGAATATAACATTTTATTCTAATAATATTAAATTTCATAAATAAAGTAATTTTAAGTTTGAAATTTGACTTTATATAATATCATTTTAACAGAACGTCAACGGTTTATAACAGACATTGCGGTTAAAAAATAAGGTGTTCTTGAGTAGTTGTATTTAAATATTTTGAATATAGTTTTATTCTTTGTTCTTTGTTTTTTTTATGTTTCTGACGACGGGATGAGATATATCTCTTGAAACGTTAAGCATTTTTTGCCCGTTGGGAAAATTTGCTTATTAGTAAAATACCACTGACAAATTGATCTTTGTTGGATCAAGTGGCAGTGGCAGTGGTGTTTATAAAAAATACCTTTTTTATTTTGTAGATTTTTTCCCAGTTGCGAAAACCCTAGCAATTATCACTAGCAACCTGTTGCTAATGATCATCATCTTCTAATCGGCATTTTGAAACTAAAGTTATCAAACCCTCAGAAAAAACGCACGGGTTCAGCTCGAACAGTTCATAATCTAAGTGCCATAAAGTCAGCAAAAATAAGCTGTGGATCTATCAGTAAAAATGCAGTAGCATTGAATAAGATTAATAGCAACAAATAAAGATGGAATGCATTGAAAAGTATCTTGCCGAAACATCTGATGAAATCTTGGGACCAAAGGAAAAAGGACGTAAGGAGTAGCTATCGGATGCTACCTGGAATGTAATTGAGAGCAGAAAGCATGTTAAAGCTAAAATAAATTGTGCATAGATTTTGGATGAACAGCAGCAGCTATCTAAAGCTCACAACGAACTTAATAAGCAAGTAAAGAGAAGTGCAAGGAAAGACAAGCGACAATAATGGAATATCGACTTAACATTCCAAGCTAAAAAAGCTGCAGAAAGGGTCATCAAGCGGTACAATATCACAAGAAAACTAACAAGCAAGAGAATGAATAAATTGCCAAGATTAAAGGACAGCGCTGGACGAGTTTTAAAATCCACAGAGGAAGAAATAGCACACTGGTATGAGTACTTCACTGAAATTGTTGGTATTACAGATGATGAATTTATGAATAACAACCCAACAACAGCGCCACCTCTAGCCACAAACGATAACCCTTACGGAATAAATACTCCCACAAAAACGGAGCTAAAAAAACATTACATCATTAAAGAAAGGTAAGGCGTCTGGCCTCGTCAATTTACCTTCAGAAGTATTCCAAACTGATATCAGCCAACTTACTGACTTACTTCGTCCACTTCTAGGGTTTTCATGGACCTATGAGAATATCTTAAACGACTGGAAGGATAGCCTTATAACTAAGATCCCAAAGAAACGTGACCTCTCGGAATGTCAAAATTAGAGGGGCTCTGAATCTCGCTCCTTGAAAGGTTATCGAATCATATAGAAATTCATTTTCGTCCCAATCAGGCTTTAGGCATAAGCGATAATATGTGGATCACATAAGTACACTCCGTATAGTCATGGAACAATCATTGGAATGTGATTCAGTTTTATTCCTGATATTTGTTAATTTTAACCGTGCGTTTGATAGCCTAAAGCACCAATCTCTTTGGCCAGCCCTAAGCAGGGCTTGTATTCCTAACAAAATTATAAGAATCATACAGGCACCCTATTGCGAGGATCAATGTGCAGTCTTGCATAAGGCTCAATGGAGTGAATCCAACATTCGGAATAGGGTGAGGCAGGGTTGCGTCCGTGTCCTGTCGCTATTTCTTTTTAATATCCTCTTACATGATATGCTAAAAAGAACAATTTCCAAGAATCATCGTGGAATACGGTGGACTCCCTTTAGCCTGTTGGAAGGGATCTCAGTTATGCAGATGACATCTGTCTCCTTTCTCATAGCCACGCGGATATGGCATCAAAACTACTTGACTTGACAAATGGAACTCCAATTGCAGATCTTAAGATCAATATTAAAAAAAAAAACTAAATCGATAAAAGTTTGTACCAACAATGTCGCTCCCTTTATCATTGGAACAACACCTATAGACGAGGTAAATAATTTTACTTACTTGGGTAGTATAATCTCAACAAGCGGCAGCGGAGTCACAGAGCAAGATATCATAAATAGAATAAGCAAGGCCAGAATAACATTTGGAATGCTCAACAATATTTGGAATTCTAGACAGTACTATCAACTTACTAAACTTAAGATTTTCAATTCAAATGTCAAGTCAGTATTGCTGTATGGTGCAGAGACCTGCAAAATTACATGGTCATTAATTAACTTCAAAATTTTCATCAACCGCTGTCTGTAGTAAATCGTAGGAAGATTCTGACTGAAATTTCTGAATACTATCAGAAAGGAGGATTTATGGAGCTTAACTAACCAAAGGCAGGTGTATAACGTGATCAAACTGAGAAAATAGGGAAGGCAACAACATCGCTGGCAGATCTATTGAGTGGAATCCATAGGGCAGTAGAAGAACTGGTCGTCAAAGACATACATGGCAAAGGACAATTAAAAAGGATATCGACTCAGTAAACCGATCATGGCGAGATATCAAATCACTTGCAAATAACCGAACCCGCTATACTACACGTAGGGGTAAAGGACAAAATGAAAATTTCAAGATATATAGATTTATTTGAACAATATTTTACAATTCTTTGGAGGACCACAAGGTGTTTCAATAAAAAAGTTTTTTGATAAATTTAGCAATATTTTTAACTGACGATTTTTTTTAAATTTTAATATAAGCAGCATTGGGTACCTTAATTACCCTGTATCACATGTTATACAGATAAAGCAACCAATACCAAATTTAATAATGAAAATTTATACAGAGAGAAACAAAAATGATATTGAGGTTGGTCGTTTTGAGTTACTCTTTTATCTGAAATTCAGTTAGACTCTCATTATACAGGGTGCTACAAATTCGAGGTACGAGCATTGGTATCTCAGTAACCGTAGTAGATACGAAGATGGTTAAATTGGGGCAAAATTGCGCTATAGGATGTTCACCAAGATGCCATCAAAAAAGTTTTAAAAATGTCAAGGAGTTTTTTGGAAAAAACGGATTTTTTTTGAAAATCAATTTTCTTTTTTCCCATCGTCACTTTATGGAAAATCAAAAAACTAATTGCTTATTCTCATAGCCACTGAACTAAGGCTATCTGATAGTATTTTTAGATTTTCAAATTAGCTGATAATTTGTGACATACAGAGGCCGACTGATTTTTTTTAAATACGGACCTGCATTTTTTATTTCAGTTTTTAAAAGAACTCGGTCTCCTGAGTACAATGATATGCCATACTTGTTACTTTTTTGTTTCGGACATTTGAATACAATTTATTTAAACTAATTTTTAAGTTAAGTAAAAGTATAAGAAGATATATGTTCAAAGAGCTATTAATAAAATTGAACGAAAAATAAATTTGTGCAATAGGGAGGTTGGTAACCCTTTCGAACATGTAGAACGTTAGAAACAAGTTTGTAAGAGTTGATTTATTTATAATAACTACGATTAATATTATGCATATTATTAGATCGTACAGTGATATTTCAACTTCACAATAAAATGAATTAAAAATATTATCTTTAAATTGCTGACCTGGATATAATTTTTTTGACTCGATTTTCCATATTCAATGTTAATTAGCGCTGATCAATATTGTTGCGATGAATGTAATCAGATTAAATAAAAAAACCAGAGTTGGACTTCAAATTATTTTAGATAACAATTAAATAGTTTTGTTGTTGTCAAGGTACTAAAAACAAAAAAGTATAAAGTGTGGCATATTATTGTACTCAGGAGACCAAGTTCTTTCAAAAACTGATATAAAAAATGCAGGTCCGTATTTAAAAAAATTAAGTTAACCTTAGTGCATTATGTCTAGAGATTAACCTCGTCAATATTATTATCGATTTTTGTTCTTCTGTTGTCTTTGACACCGCGCGCCGATTTTATTCTGGCATATTGTATTAACTTTGTTCGCACAGCGAAATATCCAACTAGTTGTTAATTTATTGTATAATAGAATTTAAATAGAATATTTTAATTATTTTTTTACTTCTGTTTGTTACCAGGTTTGCTCGGGAGGACCTGGCGGACAGAAATTGTCAGCTGACCAATATCGAGCATGCATTAGGTCACGTGCTCTCAACGAAGCATCACACGCGCAGTTGGGTTTCCTAGCCTTCAAGGACGACATCGCAGCCAATAGCAGTCCTTCAAAATATCCAGTTCATCCGCTTAAACCTATGAAAAGTTCTGCTTTTAGAAGTAAGGCTTTTAATAAATCGAACGGTAAGTGATGAGAGATCTGTAATGAACGTGAATTAATACAGGGTGTAACAAAATTACATACACAAATAAAACTAACCGAATGATTAGTATATTAATAACAAATTTAGGGAAGTATGCATGTTTTTTTTATTAATTGTGTAATAAATTATATTATAATGAACAAATAATATGATTACATAATTAAAGAAAAACATGTTTCAGTTATTAATTTGAATATTCCTTTTTATAAAGTAATATGACATGATATCAAATAAGTTAAGATTATATTTCACTTCATGCATAATATTGTAAATATATAAAAATATTTCAAATCAAGTCAATCGAAATAGCTATAAAATAAATGCTATCTCTCAATCTCATCATGAATGTAAATATATTATTAAAATGTTGTATTATTTTATTACATTCTGTATGCATATAGACAATACAAAAAGGTAAAATAATTTGTTGTTATTATAGCATTTATTTCTTGTTAAAGTTATTCACATATCATGGTATGGAATATAATAGTTCTAGATTGCAAAAAAATATTATAATTTATAGCATTGCGGTAAGTGAATATTTCTTAAAATATTTCTTAAAATTTTAAGTAAAGTAGAAACGTACATATCAATATTTGAGATCTGAAAAAAAAACTCTTTTCTTAATTTCAATGGTATATTCTAACTAAATTTTTTAGTTGTACCAAAACAATTTATTATTTAACTTTTTTTAATTAGGCTGTGTTTAGTTTATTATAACTATCATGCATAGTAAAATAAAACAAGAAAGATATTGTAGGATTGTACATAGTCGTATAACAGAATGGTATCTATTAAGCAGATGTAAATAATTTAAGTATTTAGGAACTATCGGTGATATTATTTTAGTTTTAATTATGGGAATTTAAATTATAACATGATAAGAATCTTCCTCTAGAGCAATTCCAAACTGACCCTATGCTTAAAAGACTAGGTAACAAAATATAAATAATATTCAAGGTGTTTTATAATTATATGTGGTACTTAAGGACGTTAATGTATTACGTTTACATAAATATGTGTCTAAAGATGACGTTAAACTACGTAAGTTCATATAATATTATAGCACAAACTTTATCAGTTGGATTATTACCTGCAGAATTTATTTTTTACTATAAGAAAATTCAGGATAAGATGTAGTATTCACCTAAATTGAATTTATATTATGTGGAGATAGGTACATGGGACTGTAAAAGTAGTCACACACATACAGTGTTTCCTCGAGGCTTTTCCAAGTCAAAAGTGCACAGTCTAGGCCTTATGGATTTTGTTGCAATGCCGATAATACATACCTACAACACTCCCTATAACACATACCTACTACAACCACGAACTGACTTGACCGGATTGAAATTTTAATGCTATAATGCTAAATGTTAAAGAATATATAATACAGGGTGGCGCCTCATACGCCGCGGAGGCTCCAAGGAGAACGACAGTTTGTACTGAAATGAAATTTTGTGAACACATGTAGGTTAATTCAGAGCACTTTTTAAAAATATAGAGAGTTCTATAGGGTGTCCCCAAAAAAAGTTACATATTGAAAGTTGCGTTTTTGTAATGGAACACCCTATATATTAATTATTGATTTTCGGATTCTGGGAGAAAAATAAAGGTGAGTTTGATTTCAGTAGATCTTTATTATTTGATAAAATCTAGGTGGCTGTGATATGTCTGACGTTACTTCAACATAGCTGTCTAATTAGTCCAACTTTAACAACTAGTTATCATTTTGTGTCAGTTAAAACAAAAAAATATCTCAAAAATTTGCCGAAAATGCAAGCATCCTACATCAGAGAAAATTGATATGATTCCATTAGTTGGAGAATTGCAGTGTCCATTCATCAATTAATAGAATACTTAAATGTTCCTGATTTTATCTAGTATGATTTTTACAAAACTCGACCAACTATTGTCGACAACATGAGAGAAATTATTGTAGCTGCTTTTCTAGGTAGAACTCCACATAAATGCCTTTTAAAATAAAAAGATCTTTTGAAAAGACAACAATTTTATGCAGTTAACAGGAAAGGAAGCATTTCATCTAGCTAATTTTTGTCACATAATTATAGGTTTATATCTAGTTACAATTCTGTAATAATTAAAATATGTTTTTAACGTGTGTCTTTTTATTACCGTTGAGTATTTTACGACAATTGTCGACCAACTATTGTCGACAACGTGAGAGAAATTATTGTAGCTGCTTTTCGAGGCAGAACTCCACATATGCCTTTTTGAAATAAAAAGATTTTGAAATAAAAAGCATGTTGAGCATTTGATTTCATGTAGCTAATTTTTGTCACATAATTTATAGGTTTATATCTAGTTTAATTTCTGTAATAATTAAAATGTGTTTTAAACGTGTATATTTTTATTACCGTTGAGTATTTTACTCTACAATCTTTAATTTTTGTTAAATTAACAAAAGGTATATCACAGCCACCCTAGATTTTTTCAAATAATAGAGATCTACAGACGCAAAATCATAAAAATTAAAATATCTAGGAAAATCTTTGCCTGAGGGGTAAGCAACCTTAATAATATTTTGAAGATATATAAATTCCCCACTGAACACCGGAATAATAGACTGGGTGTTCCTTTTAAAATAAAGGAGTAACTTGCTTTTAAAAGTGACTAATGTTCCATATTAATCTTGTCTCACCCTGTATAACTTTTTGGGTAAAATTTCAGTTTGGTTTAACATACAATGGTTACTGTAATTAAATATGAAGCTATACAAGGTCAACTAAAATTTAGGTAGCTGTTATCGAAATTAAAAATTTACTCTTCATTTACACAAAATGTCAAATATGTTAAAATCCTTAGATTTTAGATATATGCTTCTTTATTAAAACTCACCTTTATTTTTTTCCTAGAATCCGAAAATCAATTAATATATAGGGTGTTCCATTAGAAAAAACACAACATTGATGTGTAACTTTTTTTGGGCACATCCTGTATAATTCCATATATTTTTATAAAATGCTTTCAGTTAATCTACATATGCTGCCAAAATTTCATTTCGAAAAAAACTACCGTTCTCCTTGGAGCTTCCGCGGCCTATGAGAGGCGCCACCCTGTATATATGATATTGGTCCACCCAGTAGGTACATTCACCCTGCAGGCTACATCCCATTGCGACTCATTCGGCATCCATTGCGAAATCCAATAGTACTTTCTAATCGTTGTGTAATTTGAAACTTGCATTTTTAATAGTTTACAAGCTAAAGAAAAATTACAATAATTCGTTAATAAATAAACAAGTAAAATATAATGAAACGTAATTCAATCATGAACTAAACGCAGGATGTACACCCTTCCCTATAATTCTAACTACTGGTAGGTACTGGATTTAAATTTTAATTTTATGTTTATGCGGTGTGATCGTGTCGACCGCGGCGAAGCTACCTATCCCCTTCCATGTTTCTAGCAATGTGCACAGTTTCTTGGTTTATTTCATAAGTTTGGCAACGTTTATACTCTTCTTTCTCTATACTTTTTGTACTATTCTTACATACGGAAATCTCGTCCTAAACTCAAACCTTGCCGAGCCTACCACGGCATCAAACATGGCTTTAACTAACTTTGTTGGTTGTAATTATACAGGGTCAGTCTTAAATAAGTGCAAATATTTTTAGGGCTGGTATATTTCGACCCCAGGAACACGTCTTTGAGTTTTTTTTTCGCAAAAAAAGATGTTGAAAATCGTGCATTTTCTTTTAAATTTCCCTGTATATTTTTCGAAAACTTTTTAGAACTGCCTCTTCACCGCAAATTTTCCCACGGTATAATTTCTTAATCTCTGATATTACTATAGTTATGGCTTTACTCTATGGTTACGGCTCTAAAAGGGATGATATTACAGAAAAAATCCGGTGGCTCTCAAAATTTTTTTAATTTTTAAACTTAAATAACTCGGTTATTTTGGACTTATCTGAAAAATGGCAAAGAGAAAATATGTTTCTTCTATCGAGATCTATCAGCCCTGAAAATATTTGCACTTATTTAAGACTCACCCTGTATACGTTATACGCTGATGTCAAGACTTCACTAAATCTTTTAGTTTATCAGTTTATTTTCTCTAGGAACTTATCAGGTTAATTTTTCAAGCACAGCCATTCACAGCCATTAAATTCTTTCAGTTTTCTGTCGATCTGGCATCTTTTTCATTCCTGTCACTTAGTTTTCAACTTTCAAGGCTCACGTTTTTTACTTTTCACTTATTACTTTGATTTATATGTGTAAAATGCACAGCACAGTTTGGACTGTTCAGCAAGTCTCAACTAACAAGTAACTTTTAATAGTATTTCTAATAGAATTTTGTACAGTGGCGCAAGGCTTAAAGTGCGCAGTTCAAACAGTGAGGAAAAACTGAATGTGTGGTTTCTTTTTGACCACGGAAGGAACAAAATCGCAAATGAAATTGTGTAAAGGTGCTAGTTTTAAAGTTTTTAGAGTATATCTGGTAAATTTATTAAAGAAAATTAACCAAGTTATTACAAAAGTTAAATATTTGTATTGTCAATGTCATATTGTCATTCTTAACTGTCAAAACGGTCACTAGTTAGTATAATACACTGTAATAATCAATTGAAAGCAATTTATATTTTATACTGTATAATTCACATAAATTTGGTTATACAACCATTCACTATTGAGGTTTTTATTTTTTGATTTTATCTATTCCTTTTAAAATATTGACTATTATTATTATTAGGGTACTATTCTTAAGTTATCCCTATGTAAATATGCCAAATATTCATGTAGCACACAATTAAAATCTACGATACACCAACTTGAAATATTGTATTTAAGTATACAATAATAATTAAGGCATTTAATTATAAAACATCACACAGGGTTTATAAAATTTTCAAAGCAAATCGCAATAACTGCCTGTTTATTTTGGCTGGCTCTTAAAATGAGTATTACTATTTGGAGAACGCAAATTATATTTTGAAAATGATGGTACGTAGATTAATGGAAAAACACTCTCTACGAACGTAAGAGTAGTACGTAGCTTGATTGTATCATAAAACTATTTCGATACATAATATGGAAAATTATGATACACACGTCTTCTTGGTTAAATT